GACCCAGGGGCCAGGGCTGAAGAGCCTCAGCCCCTCCCACCAGCCCGGGAAATGCGTCCTTGGCAGTAGGAGCGGGCCGTGACTTGCTGTGAACTGAACTGTGAGTCTCTGCCAGGCTGCGGGTGGTATGTAGGAGGGGCCAAGTTAGCAAAGTGTTACTTTAGTCTGTGTTTGCGTGATTCCAAAAGTTTCCGCGCATTGGTAATCAAATTCACCACTTTTCTTTTTCTTCTGCCCTCCATTTGTTTTTTGGGGATGGAGAGTGCAAGGAGGAGGTGTTCCTGTTCCCGCAATTAGCATCTTCTCTTCTCAGGCTGTTAACCGTCAGTCCTCTTTTGTATAGGGAATCTTGTTAATTTTTACGAGGGCTCAGGGCGGATACACTTTTTAGGAGACAAGTGAGGAACACTACTGAAGGCAATAACTTTTTTGTTTTTCGATTACCATAAAGGTTGGGAATTGCCTTCAGGTATCTAGAGCTTTTCTTTTTTCTCTTAGGGGGATGATTAGCCCCGTCAAATAATGAAGAATTATAAACATAAGGTAATAAGTTCATATGGGTATGGATGAAATGGAGTAAGCAAGAAGAATATTTATTTTGCCTTCCCCTACATTGAAATCAGTAAAAAGTAGATAAAATAGATGTTTATTCTGGAGTAACTTTCTTGTTCTCTTTTTCTTTTATACTTAACCCTTCACTTAAAAAAAAAAATCCTTTTAGCTACATGCCCTTGATGAAAGGAGGTTAGTTCAGGTATTTTCCTATTACAGTATCTTATTCTGGGTGACTCAAATCTAATACAATAAGTGTACCTGTCTAATAAAGTTCCCAGTTTTATTTAAAATGCAGTGAATACAGTAAAAAAATCTTGTCATTTAAGTACTTCTACCAAACTGCTACCAAACTGCTACCAAGCACACTGTCAATGTGCTTGCCATCCAAGAGATGGAACAGGAGAAGTCAAATCAAAGAGGTAATGTATAATAAACTTAAAATAACTTAAAAATTTACCAGAAATGAATAAGTGAAATTTGACATTGAAAGCACAGTACAATTTGCATTAGCAACCCTCAAAATGAAATAGGTAAAAATCTAACAAAGTAGGTATAAGATCTGTATGAGGAATCCTGTAAACTCCGATGAACAAATCAAAGAACTAAGTAAATGTAAAGATATTCCATGTTCATGGATAGGAATATTTAATATTGTCAAGATGTCAGTTCTTCGCAACTTGAGCTATGGATTCAGTGTACTCCCAATCAAAATCCCAGCAAGCTATTTTGTGGATATTAATAAACTGATTCTAAAGTTTATGTGGCGTGGCAAAAGATCCAGAATAGCCAACACAATATTGAAGAAGAGGAACAAAGTTGGAGGACTGACGTGCCTGACTTTAAGACATACTATAAAGCTACATTAACCAAGATACTGTGGTGTTGGTGAAAGACTAGACAAGTAAATCCATGGAACAGAATAAATAGACCATAAAAAGACACATGAATATGGTCAACTAATCTTCAACAAAGAAACAAAGGCAATACAATGGAGCAAAGATAGTCTTTTCAACAAATGATAGTGGAACAACTGGACATTCATGTACAGAAAAGCAAATCTACACACAGACCTTATACCCTTCATTAAATTAACTGAAAACAGATCACAGGCCTAAATGTAAAATACAATTATAAGACTGCTTGAAGATAACAGGAAAAAATTTATATGACTTCCACTATGTCATTGACTTTCTAGATACGACATCAACATCACAACACGTGAAAGAAATATTTGACATGCTAGGATTCACTAAAATTAAAAACTGCTTTTGCAAAACTAAATGTCAAGAGAACAGAAGACAAGCCACAGGGAGGGGATATTTGCAAAAGATGCATCTGGTAAAAGACTGTTATCCAAAATATACCAAGAAGTCTTAAAACTCAACAATATCTGTTGAACAATATCTGATACAGAATGACCAAAATCTGGAACACTGACAAAACTAGATACTGGGGAGGATGTGGAGCAACAAGAATTCTCATTTTCTGGTGGGCAAGCAAAATGATACAGCCACAGTGGGAGACAGTTTGGTGCTTTCTTACAAAACTAAACATACTGTTGCCATACAATCCAGCAACTAAGATTTCTTTGAGTAAGTGAATGGATAAATAAGCTGTACTACATCCAGCAGTGGAATATTATTCAGCTCTAAAACAAAATGAGTTATCAAGTCATGAGAAGACATGGAGGAACCTTAAACCAACTAATTGAAAGGAGCCAATCTGAAAAACCTACATACTCTATGATTCCTACTATATGACATTATGGAAAAGGCAAAATTGTGGAGACAATAAAAAGATCAATGGTTGCTAGAGATTGGAGAGAAAAGGAGGGATGACTGGGTGGAACACAGAGGCTTTTTAGGGCAGTGAAAATACTCTGTATGATGGACATGTTATTATACAATTGTCTACACCAAAGAATGTATAGCAAGTGTGAGCCCTAATGTAAACTTTGAACTTTGGATGATTATGATGTGCTAGTGTAGGTTCATCAACTGTAACAAATGTACCCTCTGGTGGGGGATGTTGATGATGGAGGGGCTGTACATATATGGGGGCAGAGAGTATATGGGAAATCTCAGTACCTTTCTCTCAAATTTGCTGTGAACTTAAAACTTCCCTAAAAAAAGTCAAGTCTTAAAAAATTAAATAAAGTTTAAAAGTTAGTATTTTAGTCATGATAGTCACCTTTTAAGTACTCAATAGCGACATGTAGCTCATGACTAATGAAACAGTATAAAAAAATTTCATCTTCAACAAAAGTTCTATTGGATGGCTCTGATTTAGATTTTTGATAAAGGCACACATGAGATTCAAAGCAGCTATCTCCACCTAGCAACCATGTACCCCAACTGCAGTTTTCCTTATTTTGAATGAGGAATAAGAATTTGGGGAAGGTTTCTGTGTTGAACAACATCTGATAAAGATGAGAGGAGCTTTAAGTAATATAATATATAATTAAGGTAATGGTAAATGGCACATAGGAATTTTGAAGGAGACATGAGAGATTCCTTTTAAGAACAAGCTTTGTGTAGACTTGAAAATAGAACTTCTATTATTTAGAACATTTTCTAACAGCTTATTGTCTACAAACTTAAGTCAAATTTTGACCTGTATGTCATGTGGGAAGGACTCAGTCTTTTCAGCTATACTAGGTACATGATTGTGATGTCATCCTCAGATTCATTTTTAATTCAAAGGCTAATAGAATATTCTAACAGCTATAATGTGTGGATTGATTGTTTCACTGATATAAGATGTGATCCTGTAAAGTTCCTTCAAGATAAACATTTCTTTTACTAAAATTCAAAGCACTTTCTCTCGTTTACTAGAAAAATCAACAAGATTTGAAGTACTTTTTTCAACTCAACTAGGGAAATAAAACTAAACAACTGCAAAATGGGTATTGTCAAACAAATCAGTACAATAGTCCCCCCTTAACCACTGTTTTGCTGTCTCTACTTTCAGTTACCCAAGGTTAGTCCAAGGTTAACTGTGGACCAAAAATATTAAATAGAAAATTCCAGAAATAAAAAAGTCATAAGTTTTAAATTTTGGGCTGCTCTGGGCAGTGTGATGAAATCTCGCATTTACCCATTCTCTTGTAAGAGGGAGCTTGTGTCACTTAGTAGCCTTCTTGATGGTTATCTGATCAGCTTTCACAGTATCACAGTGTTCGTTTTCAAGTAACCCTTATTTTACTTAATAATGTCCCCAAAAGCACAAGAGTAGTTGTGCTAGCAATTCAGCTATGCCAAAGAGAAGCCATAAATTGCCTCCTTCAAGGGAAAATGTGAAAATTCTTGACTGAATGAGAAAAAAATTGTATGCTGAGGTTGCTAAGATCTAAGGTAAGAATGTTTTATCCATGAAAATGTGAAAAAGGAAAAAGAAATTCATGCTAGTTTTGCTGTCGCACCTCAAACTGCAAAAGTTACAGCCACAGAGTGTGATAAGTGCTTAGTTAAGATGGAAAAGGCTTTAAATTTGTGAGTGGAAGACACTATCTGAAAATGTGCTTTGAATGGCTGGCAGTGTGTTGTGCCAGAAAGCATTGAGCTTGTACAAAGACTGCAACAAGGGATCCCCTGAAACAAGTGACATCAAGCCGTTTACTTCAACTAAGAGATGGTTACATGGATTCAAGAATAGGTTTGGACTGAAAAATATATAAATTTCTGGAGAAACTGTCTGCTGATGAAAAAGTTGGTGCCACATTTCTGGCAGAGTTGAAGAAGTTGATTAAGGAGAAAGAATAACATCCAAAAAAAGTTCCATTGAGATGAAATCAGGCTCTTTTGGAAAATGTGCGATAGAACCTACATTGAGAAATAGGCAAAGTAGTCACCAAGACATAAAACATGGAAAGATATATGTTAACTCTGGTAACATGTGACAGTGCTTCAGAGCATATGATAAAGCCAGGCATAGTGTACCAGAATGAAGAACCCATGAGCTCTGAAAAAGAAAAGCAAAAATTATCTGCTCATATTGAGGCAACATAGTAAGAAAGCATGGGTGACAGTCATCTTGTTTATGGAATGGCCCCACCAGTACACAACAAGAAGAGTGAGTATTGTATAATAAGATATTTTGAGAGAGAGAGAGAGACCACATTTGAGTAACTTTTATTACAATATATTGTTATAATTGTTCTATTTTATTATTGTTGTTAATTTCTTTTCTTGCTAATTTATAAATTAAACTTTATCATAGGTGTGTATGTATGTATGTATAGGAAAAAATATGGTATATATAGGGTTAGGTACAAACCGTGGTTTCAGTCTTCCTCTGGGGGGTCTTGGATCATATACCCCACACAT